TAACTTTATTAATTCTTTTGTTGTCTTCCTACCAAACACACACACAGACACATACACACTTTCCTACAGACAAAGGGTCATTTTTGAGAGACTTTAAAGATGATTTATAAAACTCCCATGCTGTGATCAACAAGCCCAAGGTATGAGGATAAAAGCACTTATCAGACAAAAATTTATATAGAGTTTTAATAAAGAATACACACTGGCCTGGAGAGATGGCCCAGCAGTTAACAGCACTGGCTGCTTTTCCAAAGGACCTGGATTCAGTTCTCTGCACCTACATGGCACTTCACAATTGTCTGTAACTCTAGTTCCAGGGGATCTGACACCCTCATACAGACATATACTCAGATAAAACCCCAATGTACATTAAATAAATAAATAAATCTTTTAAAAAATAAAGAATACACACTAAAGAAAGAAATATAATGGGTGAGTTTTCAGAGAGAGAGGGAGAGAGAGAGAGAGAGAGAGAGAGAGAGAGAGAGAGAGAGAGAGAGTATTATATACACTGAACAGGTTACATTAAGGAATATATTCATATATATATATATGTATATATATTCATCTATGCATGCAATAATGATTAGTTTTTAAAGAAGGTCATGGATTTTAAGGAGAGTGGGTGGAGCATATGGGAGGGTTTAGTGGGAGAAAAGGAAAAGGGAAAATTAATTAAATTATAATCTCAAAAATCAAAATAATTAAAAAAGAGAGAAATTAGTTACTTGTACAGTCTCCAGGGTCATTTGTGGTAGGGTCCCATTTAAATAGATAAGACATGAACAATTCATTTCTAACATCATTTGTCCTTTTGGAGACTGGCCATTTGGCATTAGGAATTAGGCTTTATGTTTCGCTACAGGGCATTGCAAGTCACTGGGCCAGGTTCCAAACAGTCAGGGACTCATTGTTAGAGAATTGGGGGGGGGGTGTCTTATTTCTTTATGGCTTTTTACTTTGGGCCTTTTTGTCTCTCCCATAACCTCTATAGAGAAGAGGCAGATAACATGGTGAATATTATCTAAATTACTGAATAGTGGAAGAGATAAGGTATAGCAGTTAACTGGAATTCCACTTAAAACTCAGCTTTTATTAGGCTGACTTACAACTATGGTTCTCCTCTTCAGTTGTTACAACTTGGCAGCCAGGACAAATACTTCTGGAGTCCCATTCATATTAACAATCTAATCCCTCCCAAATCAGGACTGTCAACACCATTCTGGGAGTAGAAGCCTGTTCTTTGGTGTGAAGTGCTTGTGCCAGTATAATCCTCTAGCAAAGCCACTTGGAAACAGGAGCCAATTACAGAGGCCAGCAGGGTTCCTGAGGCCCACATTCATTCATTCACTCATTCATTCATTCATTCATTCATTCATTCATCCATTCATTCCCCCCTCCCTTTCTCTTCCTCTTCCAGGGCTGAAGACAGAAACCAGGGCCTTGTGCAGACTAGGCATTTGTTATACCTTTGAGGTACAACCCATCTCAGCTTTTGAGACTGTCATGCCCTAGCTCAGAATGGCCTTACTTGCTTTCTTACTTCCTCTCCATGACCTATGCTGGCTTCAAACCATCTTTCTGCCTGTGTCTCTCGGATGCTGGGATTATAGTGTGCACCACCACACCAGACCTCAAGCAGACCCTAGTTACGAATTTTGAAATTCCCAGACATTAGCCTCAAGTATATGGGGCTGACACTGTTTGAGGTCAGTTCTGTCTGCTGTCACTGCCTGTCTGGGCTAGCCTCAGGCACCAGGGTAGACTGAAGTTTTAAAGAAGGTGCTCTAAAGTGTTGGAAGCCCTGAAATGAAGGACAGTTATGGAAGTCAAGCTGGATATAGACATTGTCTCTTGTCTCTTCAGTTCACACTTCACAATGAAAGCTCTGTTTTTCCCAAGCTCAACAGCTCAGAGTATTACTTAATGAGGGATTTCCAAGTGTTCAAAAGTTAACCTATATGTGGAGCTGGTGAATATGCCAAAGCCGGGAACTCTTAAAACGTAATTGTCTTTTTATTTGCTATAAAAATTTGTCCCAGGGGCTGGTAGGACAGCTCAGTGGCTAAGAGCTTATTCTACTTTTTCAGAAGACCCAAGTTCAGTTCCGAGTACCAACAATGGACAGCTCACAACTGCCTGTAACTCCAGCTCCAGGGAGTCTGATGCCCTTTCCTGGACTCTGCAGCAACTGTTCTGAAACACACACACTTAACAAAATAAAAATGTATCCTTTAAGGTGCGTCATACATACAGTAGCTCTGTAAACAACAAAATTGGACTTCTCACAGTTCTAAAGGTTAGAAGTTTGAGATTAGGGCATCCAACATGGTTGGGCTCTTGTGAAAGTCCTTCACTGGGTTGCAAACTATTGACACCTCATCGTATCATGTCAGAAAGATTTACTTGTTCTTTTATAACTACACTAGTCCCACTTTGAGGGCTCCATATTTGTGACCTGTCACTTAAAGGCCCCATCACCTAAGACCCTCACAGTGTAGGTTAAGGTTTTGATGTTAAATTGAAAAGAGAAACTTGTAAACAAATGTACTGGGAGCCCAATTTAGGCAATAACTTTGTATACATATTTCACCAAAGTTAAAGACTAAACTTACACGACAGTGTGATAATGCTTCAGAGACAGACTTATACAACAAATGGTTTGTGTCTGCCAGTCTCCACTTTGTTTGAATTTCATCCCATTGTCAGGAATTCAGTAATCTGGCATGCCTGTGTGTGTGTGTGTGTGTGTGTGTGTGTGTGTGTGTGTGTGTGTGTGTGTGTTAGAAAGAACTTTACTGTTTTAGGCATACATAGTACATCTTCTAGACTTATTATGAAGTACACAATTAACAATTATAATGATTCTAAGATTCAACTTTGTGCTTCTTTGGTTTTGCTATACCTTTTGATTTATTTCAATGGATATAGTCTAAAAATCTTCAGAATGCTAAGATAATTAAGACTCAAGGCATATACTGCTGAGAATAACCTACAAGAACCAACCCAGTGTGAAAATAAATTGAGTATGTATGACTAGTTTCAGATGTGGGCATTCCTAAACTATTTTAAAAAGAAAAGGGTGAATTGATGACTGCTTGATTTTTTTTAAAATACCATGCTCAAACACTTCCCAATAACCCTGCTCACAGTCAATAGGTGCTGTTGGGAGCTCACTGTTGATAGTCAATTCTTTTCAAAACCCGTCTCCTTTTGGCACCTTCCCATTTCAAACACCTGTCAGATGTGAGTGCTCTTTTTTCTCTTCCATGTGTTCTGATCGCCAATGCTCTGTAAATACCTGCATCTGCCAGTGACCTGCATCTGTGAGGCATTAGAACAAACAGATTGTGTTGAGACTCATGTCCCTCAGTAGAAGATTCTGTAAGCTCCTTGTAAGATCGAGGGAGTCCCCTGGGGTGGACATCTTTTCCCACTTCAAAAAGGCTTTACGTTGACCTTTCTCCTTTCATTCACCTCGCCTTCTTACTCCTGTTCTCTGGGATTCAGTCCCAGATAAACCCTTTACATCCAAGTCTTTGACTCAGGCTCTGTGGGAAAGACAGCACCCAGAACAAGTCACCTTCGACCCTTACCTGATTGTCTTGGGTAAGCATAAACTCCCCAGGTATCTTTTTGTGTGCCAATTTACAAATAATGAAGGTGTGAGATTTGAGTTCTCTGTAAGGTTGGTGATCATCACTTAGCCAAAAGAAAAACAGGGGTTAGGATTCACCTACTTGGGAGAGGTATGTCATGCTTGTTTCCTAGAAAGGAACTAACTTAGCAATCTTATTTAATTTCCTCCATGTAACTGCTCCATCTTCCTAGTGCTTCTGTTATGAATAAGGCAAATACAAGTTTGACACATGCTTACCATCTCCTTGTATGAGATGTGCCTCTAACAGTAAGCAGAGAAAACTGCCTCAGGATGGTTACTTAGCTGAAAGTGATACCTATACACTGAGGACTGGAAGACCCATTCCAGCCTTGGATATAGTACAAGGAAACTTAGGCCTATTTTGTGGATTAGTTACTCTCAAACTCTTTTGAGATTACTAGTCTTCCCTTCTTAAAGCGCAATAGCGCCTCTCATTCTCGTCTACCAACACCTGTCTCACATGGGGCAACGGTTCAGGAGACAGTGGTATCATGTGAAGTCCTGAAGAATTCTGAAGTCTTCGAGGCCACAGACAAATCCCCACATCTCAGGTTTCTCCAGATCCCAAACACAGCATGAAGGAGCAAAGGAACTCTTACCTTTGGCTCCTTGTACCTACTCCTCTTCAACCTAATCAGATATATCAGGGAGATTCAATGGGTATGGGGCACCCAGGATGTAGATTAAGAGTCAATAAATGTAGACCATTGACAATTTGACAATAGTCACGTTCAAGACCCCTGAATCCTGAAACCCCAATTTTCCTCATGTGGGGCCAGTCTCTGGAATTTAGATACTACCCTGGGGAGAAGGAAAGAGAGAAAAAATATCCAGACCACATCTGAAATTATTAAGAAAGCCAGAGATGACCCAACTCACCTGGGGACTATGTTGTATTGCTCCTTCATTCAGACTGAAGCACCCTTTTTGAGGAGAAGAGAGAGGCTCACAATTAGGCTTATGACAATGACAAGGTTCACAAAGTCCTTCTCCCAGGATGTTTACACAGAAAACCATTGCTGGGGCTAAGCCCCTGGTGCAGCTGCGAGCAAGATGTAGGCATTTCAAGAAATGCAGCTTTTTTTGAACCATTGCCCATGGCGGGGAGGACATTTTGGTGATGCAGCTGACTTTGAGTCACCCAAATTTCTGGAAGTAACCCCTCCCGAATTCAGTGATTCACTAAGCTGGATGTGTATGTTGTCATTTCATTAATCTGTGGTGGGGCTGTCTGTGGTAGATGGATGAAAGGATGTTTGCTCACATCTGCCCAGGAAAAGTCACATACACACCAAGGCTGCACTTTTTTTGTTACAACGCACAACAGTAGCCCCCAAGAGACACCAAATCCTTTTATTGAGATCTCAAGTGACATGTCTGTATTACCAACTGTGATACGAAAATTCCAGAAATACAATTCCACCAACTCATTTACTGCCCTTGCATCCAAAAGCAAAGAAGCAAACCAGAACACCACGCATTTACTCCCCAAGAGGGGATTTCACAGTGAATTTTACTTACCAGAAAACAGAAGCACCCTCATCCCGATACCACACTTATTCTTTTTACTTTCATGCAAACTTTGGGGAAACAAATCAGGTACGAAGAATGGGGACTGCATGTGTAGTGAAACTCAGTCCATAAGCATAACAACATTGTCTACTGTTTGTGGAGTTGACAGAGTCCATAGCCGGTACATTAACTCACTAGGTCATGACAGTAGCTCCATGAGGTAGGTGTCATTGGGTTTACAGGTGAAGTACCTGAGGCTTTGAGGGTAAGTAACATGTCCAAGCAAACACAGCCATGACAAAGCTAGGATTCAGATGCAGGCCCGACGCACAGGTTTTGTGTGTGAACTGCAGCATGTAACACAGAAGAGAGACAGTGGTTTCTCTGGCGTTTACCCACCCAGGAGAAGAGAAAAATCATTCATTGCGTATGTCTCTCCAGTGCTTTGTTTTTTTCAAAATAGCTTAGAAACTGGCTCCTTGACCTGTGGGTCTGTTCATATATTAAGTAGATGTTGATAATTACTTCATTTTTATAGAATTAAATTCCAAATCATCCCCCCCAACCCCCCGCATTGTTCCAATTCTTTTTCTTCAGCTTTTCAAATTCTGGTAAACACAAAAATTTTGGTAAAAGAAAAATTTAGATGTAGTGTGTGTGTGTGTGTGTATGTGTTTTCAAACCCCAGTATATTCTGCCGATCTTGACATTTCCAAGACATGGTACCCATCTCATCCATTCAAGTGAAATTCTGTAATATGGCGATTTAATTCATCATAATGTAGAACCTGGTATATAACTGGTACCCAAATTTTTAACATGGATCTGAAACTAGAAAGCAGGTGTTTACTGACAAGCAATGGAATTTATAAACTTTCTCTTACTGACAGAACATAGGTGGTTAAAACTTTACAAATGAGGTTAATTGTAGTTGAGTCCTGATTATTTTAGGAATAGGCTAACTGAAATTCAGACATACATATCTAAACAAAAACCACATGTCTCCCAGAGTTAGTCTCTGAGTAACACAGCTAACTTCAACTTAAGATTCATCTTCCATTTAGCCCACATATTTGAAATGAGATTTGCTTACAAGCAGAACCTGCATGCTCATAAAACAAATTGAGAACTTTTATTCTTTTGATAATATAGTGGTGAAATGTTAAGACAAAACAACTTTGTGATTTAATGGAATAAATCTGATAATCACACAATGGAAAAAATCAACGCAAGAAAGAATGATGTATTTGAGAACATTTTTAATAAATAATGTGACAAAATTACTTTTCTGATTATTGAATTTTCAGTATGCAAAATTATGGCTAAAAATAAGAGGTTTCTTACATGAACATAATGAAAACATTAATCACATGGATTGTTCCCTTAGTACTGCACACCCTTTCTATGGGACTTTTTCAAATTACCTAAATGAACACACTTAGTTTTTGGTGAATACCAGCCTTTTTTTTGTGGTTTAGTTTTGTTTGGTTTTGTGGGGTCAGGCCTGATACCTACGTATGACTAAAGGTTCATTTTGTTTTCTTCAAATAGCACCAATTATAAAGTCAATGAAATCCATATAATGTCAAAAAAATCATAAAACTCTACAGTCAGAGAGCATCACTTGGCAATTCTAAGTAGGAATGCCTCTGATGAGCTTCTAAGGAAATCTTATAAGATTCAACATTGGCCACAACAAACTTAACACTTCTTTTTTTTTTTTTCTTTCTTAAAGTCCAGGAAAAATTGGAACCATTTGGTTCACAGCCCACAATAAAGTCTGCACATGACCTCACCAGCTGTTATCATTCAAATATTGCAAATACAAACACAGAGCATTAACAAAACAGGTTAAAAACACTTCTCAACAGTTTCTTCAATGAGACAAAAAAGGTTAATAGTTACAATGGTTTACAAATAAAGTTTAGTGATTGTGCTTTTAAAACCAAAAAAAAAAAAAAAAAGATTAAAAACAGTGCATTACAAAAACAACAACAACAACAAAAAATCAAACAAACTTCCTTAAGTGGCACTTCTGAAAGTTGAACTGACACTACCAGAAGAAATTTAGGCCAGTTAAGATAGGGATGTCCTTACTCAATTGGTCATTAAAAACATCCACTTGCTTGCAATGTGCATTTGTAGTTGCTTTTTGATTGAAAAATAGAACAAGATTTTTGCTAGGCTTACTTCTGACAATGACTAGATAACCAGAGGTCCAACTGGCTTAGCCCTACTTATCCAAAAGTACATTTCCAAGAAGAATAGATTTCACTGATTGAAATGAAGACAAAGTAAAGTACCACCAGGAGTTGCAAAGAGTATATATTTACAATGCGTCTACCCCATTCAAATTATCTGTAGTTCTGTATTTGATAAGTTTTTAGTTTCTCCCAGCAAAGGGTGATATGAAAGACTGACCTTAAAATCATGTAAAATGAAGTATGCTTTAATTGGCATTAGCAGTTGGTCATATATTATATTTTGAGAGCCCTTGGCATGAGGATCATCACCTTGATATGTTTGATCAATATTTTGCTATAAATTAGCTTGATACATAAGCAGTGCAATGCCATATCTCAGGGGCAAAATGCAAAAGAACTGCTCTGATCTTTCTTGCTGGCTGATGGCTGAAGCAAGCAGTCAAGACACTTCTCTTGCTGGAAGTCAAGTGTAACGGTCGCAACAGTGAGGGGGGAGAGGGAGGTTCATCAAGGCTTAGACAATCAATCAGCAACAATAAAAACCCAAGACATTTTTTAAAAAACGGTATCCCAATAGGAGGAATAAAAATGACAATTTGTACATTCTGATTGCACGGAACACTTCATCTGGCATTGTGTGTCATCCGACGTGAGGCATCTGGAGTGATGATTTCACATTAATATCATAAGCCTCTCTGGTTGTCTTCAGCTTTCAGTTTCCTATAAGAGAGGAATTTTTGTTCAATTCAAAAATGAATCCAAAGGTAATTGTCTTATGCTTATTGACATCCATTGCCTGTGTTTTCTTCATTCATTTGTTGGGAAATGTTCATCACAGCTAATTCATTTTTCAACTTTAGTCTTTATTGCAAATCCTACCCTCAAACAAGTACCCAACTGTTCTGTACCATACTTAGATGTCACAGGGCAGGGCACAGGGTTCTGAGCAAGGAGAAGTGCTCTACCTCCCCACTTCTGCTCAGCACCATCTCTCCACTTTAATTCTGCATATGATTTTTAAATACTAGATTTAATGGCGAAGATCTTTCAGCCCCCTCTCTAAAAGTTCTTCCATTTAAAAGGCAAAGAAAAAAAATTAACTTTACAAATTTACTAATAGTCTGGCAGCATTTGAAGGAGAAGTTTTTCTTATTCCAAACCATAAGATTTCAACACAAGATGCATATGGTATTCAGTTACACATGATTTTGTAACATTGCTTCTTATATTTTGAAGGAAAACTCTCAAACTCATTTAACATCTACTTGAGATTAAACTTATTTATAAAGAAACAAATTAGTCTTTCAGTTACTTTTTATTAGCTAGAGAAAACATACTAAATTTCAAGGGGAAGGGACTTTTAAAACGGCTTCCAACTATATCTTGTATATTATTTCTAGATACAAAGAAGGGAAGAGACATTTATTTGACTTAGACAGGGTTCCTCTTCTGGCCAGGCTCCTTTCCAGAACAGTGAAGGTGTAAGAGAGCTGGAAGGTCAGTCAAATTAAGCATAGTGACAGATAATAAGATACTAAAATAAACACTCATATAATAACTCCCACCTCAGTGAGGTTTCATATGATACTACAAATTATATCAAACCAAGATATTTCTCAACTTGTATTCTGTCATATATTTTGTTATTTGGAAATATGTGAAAGAATATGAATTTTAGGTCTGCAAGGATATCACCGTCAACATTTAAAATTATGAAACGCATTCTAGGAAAATTCTTCAGTTCCCAGAACTTAAGGTGTCTAGGATACAGGAATTTTGTAACAAAATAGTTATATGTCTGTATGCTGACAGATGTTCATAATTTCAAGGGCTGACATCACAACTACAGTTTAATGTTTTAAAACGTGGGGAAGATTTGGCGTACCTCTAATTCTTCATTATTATCATCTCCTCTTTCATATCCCCCAAGAACTTGCATTTCTGCCATGTTTCTTCGACCTACATTCGCTTGCTCTCTTTGTCGACTTCCTGATCCTCGTGATGACATTGAGCTTGAGGAACTAGGATCTCGGGGGTTGTTTGACGTAGGGAAAGTAGGTCTACAGTACGGTGGAATATCCTCTGTGTAAAAAAAAAAAAATGAAAGCATGTGGAAAAGATGGAACACTTTCACCTTATAACTTGCCATTCCTGTTTATCTGCAATCCTGGATGGACAAACATGAGTGATTCTAAGGCTTAAGCATGAACACTACAGGGAGACTGAATAATGCAGGGCTGCTTTTTAAAAATGAAAATAACAAGTCTTGTTTTCCATGCATTCGTTAGGGACTTGGATTGACTCCACTCATAAACCAGTGTCCATCGCAAACTCACTTGGGACCAAGGCCATTAAAGGAGACAAGTCAAATGTGGAATCAATTGACTTCCAATTACATTTTTCATCATGAGATCTCAGCTAATTTAGTTTCTACTGCCACCCCCCTCTCCCCCAAAGTGATAGTAGACTCTGTGCTTAAAGGAGCTGTAATATGAACAAAGACAAAACACTATGTAAAGAAGGTCTTCTTATAACGAGTTAGAAGGAAGAAGTCATTTCCCAGTACTTGTTAAGCTTGGGGACAGACTCTCCCTATTGAGAAACCAACCTCAATGTATTTGCACCATTGAACTCTCAATCTCAGAAAGTGACTTCAAATAATAAGGCACTTGTGATAGTTTGAATGAGAATGGCCCCTACAGTCTCAAATATTTGAATGCTCGGTCTCTGTTGGTGGAACTGTTTGGGATGGATGAGGAGGTGTGGCCTTGTTAGAGGAGGTATGACACTGAGGATGGGCTTTGAGGTTTCAAAAGCCCAGCCACTCCCCATTAGTTCTTTCTTTGCCTTGTACTTTTGTATGTGATATAATCTCTCAGCTCCAGCACTATGCCTGCCTGTCTGCTGCCATGCTCCCTACCGTGATGGTCCTGAACTCACCCTCTGAAATGTAAGCCCCCAGTAAACGGTATCTACTATTAGTTGTCTTGACCATATGTCTTTTCGCAGCAATAGAAAAATAACTAAGATAGCACAATAGTGAATTATTTCCTGAATTTCGATCTCCTTACAACTTTAAGTTTACTGATGCTGAATCATTTAATTGATCACTTTCCCTCCATATCCTGTCTATACTCTGGACATTAAGTCCATTAAAACAAAACAAACCCTCTTCTGCTTACTTTCCCCTGCCCTGTCAGCCCCCAATGCTTCTTTCATTCCTTCCCTATCCACACTGCCTGAGTGGAGCTTGATTTCTCCTGGGTCCACTGATATTCTCTCCAGCAGAAGATAAGGAGAGGATCAAAGTCCCCTCCTAGATCCCCACTGTTCCTCCATCATTGCATGACCACAGTCTCTTCTTGGGAGACATGAGACCGTGTACTTAGGAAGCCAGTCACAATCCTCAATGGCCCCTTGTTCTTTTCATTCTGCCATCACTGCCTCAATTCACAGTTCTGACTCTTGGGAGTTTTCTCCTCATCTGTAGTCTCTTTTCACATATCTTCTTACACCTGTTTCTTGCTGGTGACTTTCATTTCGTCAAATGACAGTATGTTCAAATCTTTCTGGCTAAGAACTCGGCCTTAACCCTATTCTCCTCAGGAATCAGTGTGTTCCTTCTTTCCTTGCTGAACAGACAACCTTCTTAAAAGGCAAATTGGCTCAAAATTGGCAGTGGGAGCTCCTAGTCACTCTGTTGATGAGATCTAATGGTAAAATCTACATTGCCACTATAAAACTGAGAAAGTTGACGGGGCTAACTACATTTCAGTCCTCATAGCTCCGACTTCTCGCTGTTCTTACTCAAGTGCAACAATATTATTCTTTTAGCTTTCAGCTCTCCTCCTTCCTTATCTATCTTCTCAGGATGTGTTTTACATCTAAGTGTGAAAAAGAGTGCCTCCCGAATGTCAGTGTCCTGATATTTTCTCCTGTATGTGTGAGCACGTGTGTGTGCGACTACAAGCTTCTTGAGGTCAAAGTTGAGGCTTACAGACATCTGAAGACTTATTACTATAAATATAGCACAATGGGTGTTTGATATGTGTAGAAATAAATCAAAGAGAGGTAAATGTCAGCACAAAGGATCAGACCTTCAAGTTTAGAAAAGCACTTTCCTTAATTAAAAATATCCATTCATTACATATGTAAATCAGGGTGCCTCTCTTATTAAATAAATAATGTAAATTGAATCAAGAAGGTGAAAATTACAGCAATGCTTAGCAATGATAATTTAATGATATACACATGCAGGGTTATGGTTCAAATAAAAATCTGGAAAATCAAAGCATAATGACTGAATCAGCTAAGTGCTGGCTGGATAAGTTTCCTTATTTCTATATCAACGGTTTCCAATTTAGCTCTATAGACAGAAATAATTTTATAATGTAACAACTACTTAGTACATTTCTGAGGATGGATTTAAACTCCTTTTCCTCTTGGCTTTGATTCTGTCACATCCAGCTCTTTGTTGCCCTGCAGCTTTCTCCTCAAGCATCCCTCTTACTGTGGAATTTGCTCATCACCACTAAAGTGGTCCTTCTTTCTGGCCAGACATGGAGTCCATAACTGACATCATGGTCTTCAGTGTATGAATCACTGCTTGGAACACAGGGCCAGGAGTCAAAAGTTCAGTGCTAGATCAGCTTGGCTTTAATGGCCAGAGATAAGCTAACAGGTTGATATTACCAAGGACTCCACGGTCACATGGCGGCAGTGTTTGTGTTAAAGGCACAGTTCTGGAGCTGCACTTGACGCCCAAGTCCAAGTTTGCAGCACATGCCCCACTTTGGTCCCAGAACAAAGGGCAACTACTCTTCCTGCTGCAAGCAAGTTAGTGAACACACAGAGCAACTGACTGAGTACAAATCTTGCTGAAAATACACTCTAATAAAACACAGTAAAAGTCCTAGTACATTTCTCATGTTAATTCCTCCATCACTCCCTCCTGCCCCCTCCATCATTCTTTTCTTTTATCTTTTCCTTTACTCTTTTTGTTTGTTTATTTGTTTTTCATGACAGAGTTTCTTTGTGTAGCCCTGGATGTACTGGAACTCCCTCTGTAAACCAGGCTGGCCTTGAACTCACAGAGATCCACCTGCCTCTGCCTTCTGAGTGTTGGAATTAAAGGTGTGCACCACTGCTGCCCAGGTTTTTATCTTTTTTTTTAAAACTCTTTCTCTTGCATGGCCTTTTTGTTATAAATATATATATATATTTATAACAAAAAGGCCATGCAAGAGAAAGAGTTTAAAAAAAAGATAAAAACCTATATATATATATATTTATAACATATATATATATATATATATATATTTATAACAAAAAGGCCATGCAAGAGAAAGAGTTTAAAAAAAAGATAAAACCTATATATATATATGTTATATATATTATATATATAATATATATAATATATATATGTTATATATATTATATATATAATATATATAATATATATATGTTATATATATTATATATAATATATATAATATATATATAATATATATATATATATATATATATTTCAAATTTCTACCGTTTTGGCCCTCTGGACAAATTTCATGCAAGCCTTCTCATCTTAACCTTCTGATTAGAATTCCTGCTCACCACCTCCTGTTTGAATGTGAAATGTCTCCCAAGCTCCTATTTGAAAGCTTCCCTACTGGGCAGTGCTACTCTGGGAGGCTGGGGAACCCATAGGAGGGGGCTAGATTGGTAGAATTACTTCAACTGAGGTGGTGGTGGGTCTCTTCAAGTACTCTATGTGCTCCTGATTTCTGCTCTGCTCCCTGCTCTGTATCACATTTCTACCACTATACTCTGCCATGTGCTCTCTGCAAGTGTGAACCAAAGTAAATCTTGCCTCTCATAAGAGATTTTATCAGATATTTTGGCCACAGAAATATGGAGGTGACTAATACATGTTCCTTTCCAGATTTCCACGCCCTCTTCAGTTCTCCAGTCTGGCTTCTATTCTGACAGTCAAAGTTCTATTCTTGCAATCAAAAGTTCTGGCTACTATTCTGACTACTGTAGTCAAAAACAGTAATCATCAGCACTCGGGAGGCAGAGCCAGGCGGATCTCTGTGAGTTCGAGGCCAGCCTGGGCTACCAAGTGAGTTCCAGGAAAAGGCGCAAAGCTACACAGAGAAACCCTGTCTCGAAAAACCAAAAAAAAAACAAACAAACAAACAAAAAAAAAACAGTAATCATGGAAGACACATTCCAAAATTTTCTTTTTCTCATAAGACTATATCAAACTTTTACCTTGTAGTGTTTCATACTTCTTTCTTTTGGGGGGTACTGGTCATATGCTGCACATACATGCAGCCATGTCTAGCATTTTTTCCTCTTGCCACTTTCTCATGTGTGATACACATGGTTTACGTGTGTGGGTACATGTATGTGTGTACGTTTGTGGGCATGCATTCACACGGATGCCCGAGATTGATGTCTGGAATCATCTCCCTTCACTCTTCCATCTTATTTATTGAGGGAGGGTCTCTTGGTGAAACCCAGAGCTCGCTGATGGCTAGACTTGCTAGCCAGCTTGCTCTTAACATTTCCTGCCTCTGTATTCCAAAGCTAGAATTCTAGGTGGACTGACATGCCCATCCCGCATTTATCACTGGTTCTGGGCATTGGAATTCTGGTCCTCACGCTTTAATTGCTGTGTCATTTCACAGTCCTCTTGTGTATCTTATCTCCATTCTTTCTAGGAGTGTGTGTGTGTGTGTGTGTGTGTGTGTGAGAATGATGCTAACATTGAACTCAAGGCTCTGTTGTTAAGCAGTCTACCATCCATCTACTTCTTATCCTAGAACACTATTTTTAAAATTATTTTTAGAATTTCATACATGAGTATGACATATCTACATCACTCCCTCCTTCAAACTCTTCCCATGCCCTCTTCCCTAATTCATGGCCTCGTTTTAAAAAATTATTATCGTTATATACACTCATATATAGAACCCACTGAGTCTGTTTAGTGTTGCTTATCTGTTCATGTGTTCAGGACCAACCATTTGGGATTGGACAATTTATGTGAAAACTCCTCCTTGGAGGAAATTGATTCTCTCTCTGTAGTCTCTCTCTCTCTCTCTCTCTCTCTCTCTCTCTCTCTCTCTCTCTCTCTCTCTCTCTCTCGTTTTTTTTTTTTTTTTTTTTTTTTTTGACACAGGGTTTCTCTGAAACACAGCCCTAGCTGTCCTGGAACTAGCTCTATAGACTAGGCTGCCTCTGCCTCCCAAGTGCTGGGATTAAAGGTGTGTGCCACCGACCCACCCCTCCCCGCTTGCGCTACGTGTAGCTCTTTATTTAGGGATAGGACCTTATGGAAACTACCCTGTCCATTTTGGCATGTCAACTGGTGGTGACATTATGTTGGTCTTTTTCATGCATAATGTTGAAAGTTCATGAGTACATTTTTCTCTTTGATGTCTAGGGTGTACTACATAGCAGTAGGCATCCTGGTCATTTGGATCTTACACTCATTCTGGCCCCTCTTCTGTGATGTTTTTTCAGCTTTAAGTATGGGGCTTGCCTTGAAGATACATGAACTGGGGTAGTCCTACCCAGTGGTAATGCTTACAAACCACAATGACTGGCCCAGCAAGATATCCCCAATGGTACACGAGTGGGACTTTTATCTTTGGTATGACCAACATTGGTTTACTTGGACTTAAAGCCTGTCTGATAGGAGGGAATGCCTACCTGGGACTGTAAACCTGCCTGTAGCTGGGGATGGTACAGAGCCTAGAACAGAACCTTCTACCGGCATTCTTTGAAGGTAACATAATGTCTAACCATATTCTACATGCTCATCCTTATAGTCACAGGTAGTATAGCTCTCCTCTCTCATCAAAGATGCGTATTTTTACTAGTGATGGAGACTATTACAGAGATCCACAACTGGTTAAAATGCCGGGAATAGAACACTATTTTTTATGTCTTAGCTATCATGACTGCTTTATCTTCAGAGTGGACAATTTCAGTGTGCTTTACAGAATGTGGATTCTCTTCCATTCATAGAATAATCCTGATATCTTGGGACATTTCACTGGGATTTAGCTGCACTCATCATCTCTGTCTAGTTTTGTATTCACTGGCTTCATGCTAGCAGCTAGATTTTTAGCTTTGGGAAGCGTTCATACAACAGAGGGGACCAACCGGCTACAACATAGGTGTCGTTTTGTTTTTCCTCCTAGAGAATAGATTCATAAACATTTACCATGCCTCACTGCTGACACTGGGTCTTTAGAATTCAGAAAGTCATTAGCTCAGCACCACTTGCTCTAGAATCCACTCCTACTCCATCCCTTTCTCCTGATCTTTTAATTCAGTTTTTTCAACTCTTAATGACTGTATTCGTGTCTATGTTATAGTCAGCATCTAAGTAAAAATAAAACAAACGCACCTTCCTTATGACATCTACGCATTTCTCATTTTAATTTGGCTAGCACATCTGACACACAGGGCCTCACAGTTACCTTCCAAATAACTCCCCTTTTTACAGCATTGTTTCAACTTATATGTTGCTGTGGAATATTCCTTTATACTGTGTGAAAACATGCCACTGTGATTGGTTTAATTAAAAAGCTAAATGGCCAATAGCTAGGCAGGATTTTTGAGGTAGAGGGAATGCTGGGAAGAAGAAAGGCAGAGACGTGGGGAGTCACCAGCCAGATGCAGAGGAAGCAGGACACGCAGGAGATGAGGTAACAAGCCATGAGCCGCGTGGCAGCATGTAAAATAATAGAACTGGGTTAATTTAAGTTATAAGAGTTAGTTAGGAACAAGCCTAAGCTATAGGCTGAGCTTTCATAATTAATAATAAGTCTCCCTGTGGTTATTTGGGAGCTGGCTGGAGGGACAGAGAATGGCTTGCTATAATATTTTAACATTTTATTGGTTGTATAGTGCTACTATGTCTACCTGTGACCTGCCCATATTGGCTATTTTTACATTTCCTTCATGTTATTTTAACTCACTTTACCTTTCATACCTAGATTATTACTGCAATACCACACCTGATATTTCAGTCTCCCCTTTCACTATCCTGGGCTGGTAGTTATTCTTCGAAGCCACAAATCACATTACATCATTTCTTACTTGAAAGTCTTTTTTAAAAAATTAAAGTTAGCATACAAAGAAACAGGATTCACTGTGATATTTTCAATTTCACAAATTCACCTTCCTCCCCCCACCCTCCTCCCTCATGCCTCTGACCAGCCTCTGGGGAGTTCCCTTCCTCCCATCAAATAGTCATTTTTTTACATTTCATGTCACATGTGTTCTATTACCTTCTCTTCCTCATCCCCAGCAAAATGGCTCCCTGCTGCGGATATAATACATCTAAAATTCTTTCTCATGGTATCCTTGGCTTTTCCAATCTGGTCACTTTCCTAGATTTGTCTTTAGCTGTTGATCCCTGGTCCTATTCTCCAAAAACTGGAAACCGCTGATCATCAAACATTTATTTTCAAGCTTTCTTCACTTTTTATCCATATACTTCCTTTACCTGATATCTACAGTCTCCTTGTTTACTCTGCTGAAAGCATGCTTTCCCTTAAAATCTAACGAAAAACTCAAATTCAATTCATGTGGCATCTCTTCAAAGAACTTTGTGTGATGCCATAGACTGGAACCGATTGTATTACATAAGCTGAGCGCATTCCCACACCAATGTTAGAAAGGTCTTAATCATACTTCTTTTCATATAGTCACAGAAAGTCTACTAAGGGATTCTGTGTTTGTCTGCTGTTTGGAAAACCAGTACCTTGGACCAGGTGCGTCTTGGCTGGAGGAAGGTCTCTCTTTGCCGCCTTGTTCCCCCGTCCTTTCCCATCATTTTGCTGTTCCTGTGCTTCTCTGGGGTCACCTGGGTTTGTTCGCAGGTCAGGGACTTGTCGTCCATCCAATGCTTCTCTCCCCTTGTAACTGCCTCCTTTTCTGTCCGACGATCTGTCTGTTCTTGCTTCTATAGAGGCGAGTTTGGGCACCATTACAGGCCGTACCTCCAGCTGTGCCTTGGACTGGACAGTGGGCGATTTTATAGCAGGTGGTGGTACCGGAGGGGGTGGAAGATCTAAAGAGAACATTTTGAAGGCGTGAGATCTGACAGGTCGAAATTCGTCAAATGTAGGTTTACCATTGGAGTCATATTCAGTTTTTGAAATATTGTACTTTACATGGACTAGAGCAATTGAAGCTAACAACAATTAAGACTGATAACTTTAATATTTATCATCACCCAAGCATAGAAAAACTGAATGATAGAATCAGGACTTGGAGACTATCTACTACGGGGCTAGCCTCTACTGTGCATATGCATTATAATTTTTCCCTACTCCAAGCAGCACAACTTCCTCTTTGATTTCAGCATACTTTCCAAGGTCCTGGATGAATATTCTCTTACATCTTTAGGCAACCTCTTCAAATTGATTAAAGCTGGCACTTAAGTTTTAATTGCCATCGCTAATCTGGCCTAAATCCCTTCTTAATGTGTAGGTAAAAAGCTCTACATAGATTTTTAACTTATTTTCTGATATCAAAGCTGCTTACTATCAGACCAAAGACTAATGCCCTTAGATTCTTAATCTGAATTTTACTGTTCTTTTCTTATTTCATTTGATCACACATAACTAAAGTTCAATCAAGGCCTCTCTTCACTCTGTACCCAGACATTTTAAACCAGATAATTACTGGTAGAAATGTAGGTTAATTTCTTATTTTATATGAACAACTATATCTAGTAGTTACATTTCAAGCAATATTTTGTATAAACCATATTAATTTAAAGTCTTTACATCATGAATGTATTCTAAAATGAAACTATGCATATTGTTGAAAACCTAGAAAGTGCATTCTTCTTAAGCAGTACTGCAGTTCATAAAAGTGATTCTTAGAAACATTCCTTGAATAAAGAGAAATACATCTTAATAGTGTTTGGTAAGTTAACATAATATGAACAGCTTTTCAAGGAAGGGCTAGATTGTAGTGTGATAGATAGATTACAATAAAAGGGATTTTATTCCAGGAGACTAAGAGGTTATTATAATAGTCTATATATGCAAAGATAGGGGATGGAATGTTACAATGGAGTGTTTAAAGGAGAGCAGAGAATTCATCTGAGCAACTAAGGAAGAAAATTAGTATTATTTAATGATCAATCACAGAATACAGTATTGGGGAGGGGAAGCGATCAGAGATGACTCCCAGGGCCTTAGTTTACTAGTAGATGTGAAAACATACTTGTAGGTGTTGAGTGTAGCAATGAGAGAGTTTTTGTAAAGATGTTTGAGTTCAATTTTAGGAAAGGGAACAGAAGGGGCTTTCAGAGAATCCAGACAGAAAGGAAAAATAGTCATGTGTATAATGCACATTTTTTTTTAATTTATTTTAATTTATTTTGCAATACAATTCAGTTCTCCCCCCTCCCGTCCCCCTCACCTTCCCCCCAACCCCCCCCCCCCCCCCGTTAAAGGCTACGCTCACAACCAAAAATATAATGCACATTTTAAGAGCAGCCAAAATCAGAGAAAGAGGAATCAACATTACTATACACTCAGTCATGTCTGTAGGTAGAGCAATGTTTTCCAAATTTGAAAGGCAACATTAAAAAAACAAAACAAAACAAAAAACTAGCCGGGCCGTGGTGGCATATGCCTTTAATGCCAGCACTTGGGAGGCAGAGCCAGGTTGATCTCTGTGAGTTCAAGGCCAGCCTGGTCTACGGAGTGAGATCCAGGACAGGCACCAAAACTACACAGAGAAACCCTGTCTCGAAAAACCAAAAAACCAAAAAAAAAAAAAAAAAAAAACCTAAAAGGATTCATAAAATATTTTAAAAAATACTTAGTATAATTTCAGCCTTGGGATTTCAAATAAAAAGTATTCATGATAAAAAAATTACATAGTAAAAATGTCAGTCATATTAGAATTGAGACATGCCAATACATCTTTTATCTCCTCATCGCCATTTCAGTCATGAGTATGAATTATGAAGAGTGACTAGTTTAAACAGTTTTCTATAGCCCACTTCCCCAATTACTCTTATATAACAAAACTGGGATGAGTCACATGACTCACAAGAGCACTATCTACAGTCAGGTTCTATATGAAACAGTTATATGGAGCTATGGATAGTATGTATCTATCTGTAGGTGGTAATCTAATAAAAATCATCATATAAAAACAAACAGCCTTGCATTTTTATTAACATGAGTTGTATCATGTCTCCTTTTCCCAATCATGTAATCGTACACTTCTCCAAGTGAATAGATTCTTTTTTTGTATAATGTTTTGTTCAATAAATGCATCATTAGTTAGCTATTCTCCACAGAGGAACATACAGGTCATTTACAGATTTTTTACTGACATTAACAGTGTTCTACTAATTATCATTTTTATGTATCTACATGAGAAATTCTTGAATATCGAAACTATACCTTGAAGGACTTAGAGATTAGTTAGTAGTGAGAATGCTTGCTTGGCATGCACAGTGTCCAGGGTTTGATCCTGAACACCAAATATAACATGGCACAGAGGCATATGCCTGTGATTGCAGTGTTCAGGATGCAGATGTATGAGAATTCAAGGTCCTCTTCAGCTACACAACAAGGCCCAGGCCAGCCTGGTCTACGTGAGACCTTCTCTCAAAACACCACCACAGTCAGAACAAACCTTAAAGATTCTTACTATGATACTAAATGAAAGAACTGAAGAGTACTAGTTTAATGTAGGATCTCTCATTCATTTGTATATTTATATGTGCATTTGTGTACATATTTATTTATAAAAGGAACCACCTCTCTTTCCCCCTTTTAACAAAAAGTAGATCTTTTTAAACTAGTTTTCCTTTGACACTGAAGGCTGAAGCTATGACATCAGGATAAACTGTACTTGACTCTAAAAGAAGAAAGTTTGAACTATCATTTGACTACTTGCTATTTTCTTTAGGAATCCACTATAAAAGAAGAAAACAAAACACGATGTAGCCAGGCATGGTGGTGCATGCCTTTAATCCCAGCACCCTGGAGGCAGAGGCAGGTGGGTCTCTGTGTTTGAGACCAGCAACAGCCTAGACTACAAAAAGAGTTCTACAAAGGGCTACGCAGACAAACTCTGTCTCAAAAACAAACAAACAAACAAACAAAAACAACAGCAATGCAAAAGTTTTTGTTACTATATTTCACAGCTTACTGTGTAATATTGTCTTGCTAATAATCTCAACACATCTGTGGCCAAAGTATAGACAACAGCAAAATTTCCATCGAGTTCTAGAATCCCAAGTACCATATTCGTCGTCCCACAGATAGGCAGTCATTACTGCATGGATATTCCCCTTTGGTGACTGCCTCAATGGAATTTTTGCGGTATTTGTTAATATATATATATAATACATATATATATATGTATATATATATATATTATATGGTGTTTGTTGTTGTTGCTGCTGCTGTTTTGTATCGCACGCACAAATTGAAAGTGAAGAAGACAAGAAAGAGTTCAACCATCAACTTTAATCCTTGGTGTAAACCGTGGGATGTAACGCAGAGCGGCTTGAAGCTGGGGATGAGAACAGAGGAGGAGAAGCGAATCCAAAGCATCCCTGCAGGCAAAGGCCCTGAGGGTCTGTGTACCCACTCTGCTCTGCTGCTGCCTATTGCAGTACACCAACTGCAAACACTTTCTCAAACACCAGAGACTGTCCCTTTCACTAAACAATAAGCTATCCAGGCTCATCAGGGTATCGGAGGTTATGCTTCCTATTATCATAGTATCAAACAGCGTCCCGGGAATCCGAAGTTCAAAAGGAAACATACTACTGGATATTCTGGACAGAGGTTGTCTACAACTCAAGTCAAAAAGAGAACTAAGTGACCTTGCTAAGAATAGTAACTTCCTGCATATAACTGTCACTGTACCTAACTGAGCGAGAGAAATGCTAGCAGGTTTGATACGTCACATAAAATATTCTACATAAAATCTTCTTTCTAAGGTATTATGAAATGATTATGAAGCTAAACTCGAGGTTACTTTCACATGAACAATTCTTTATTTCCCTTATCGGTGAGTAGCACTTTACCCCAACTTATGCGTTAGTTTAAAGTAGATTTAAAAAAAACTAGGGAATTAGAATTATAAAAATCTTATAAAAAAGATTTAGTTCAATTTTATTTTTGTCCATGTTTGCCTGCATGTATGTATGAGCATCACATGTATGCCTGGTGTCCTTGGAGGCCAATAAGGGTGTTGAATCACCTGGAACTGAGGTTACAAATTATTTAAAGCTTCCACGTGGGCAATGAGAACTGAACCTAGGTCCTCTGCAAGAGCAGCAAATACTCTTAACCTCTCATCCATCTCTTCAGTCTCTCTGTCTACTCTTATTAACACCTTCCCCTTTTACAAGACTCCCCAGATAGGAAAATGTCCCTCATATAAAGTAATATACAGGAATGGATCCTGCCAGAGCAGCATTAACTTGCTAGACAGAGTCAATGCTCTATTTACTTAACTGCTTAAAGTTCCAAGACCTGGTAATTAATGAGGAATCAAGTCAAAATAACATCATTCTAAAGAGGATGGTGAATTTATAATTTATGAAAAGTAGGACTGAAGAAATATTATAGATTTGGCTTTTAAATCAAATATGCAAATGTATTTGGAAGGTTGAAAAGCGGGGGAGGGAAGAGTCTATTAGAAGGTTCTAGAAATGTACTCTAACTCTGCGAGACTTCCGCTAATAAATATTCATATATTTTAATCCTATCCTCCATCTGGGTTAAACTTGAGGGTGGCAAACGTGAAATAAATAAATAAATAAATAATCAGTCCTGTTCATAGAACTGGAGGATTCGGACTCTGCTTTGCAGGCAAGTGTTCCCTGGGTGTTCGTGAAGCCTTATATTTACCTACAGGGCAAGACATGGTCACGAGGTTGGAGGGGCTGGTGGGCTCTTATGCCGTGAATTATGTCCTTGCCAAAACTACACTCAGAGTCACAACCCCCACTATCTAAGAACGTGAGTGTATCTGGAGTCTTTTGAGAAGCAATAAAATTCAAATGAGCTTACTAGATGGGGTCCAATCCAATAAGACTAATGCTCATATAAAAAGAGTTCTGAGAACACTTACAGACTAAGGGGAGTCAGGTAAAAGTCACAGGAGGGACGCCTCTGAAGGATGCAGCCCTGCTCTGAAGGATGCAGCCCTGCTCCAAACTCAGTCTTGGACTTTACCCTCCAGAGCTCTGAGGAAATGCAGGGGTGTTGTTTTCATTGTAAATTCTGTGGTACTGTTTTGTGACAGATGAAGCAACAGATAGACCAGCTAAGAGGGATCCTCAAAAACTACACTTTATTGACCCAGAAGGAGGTCCCGTTTATTCTTTTGAAAGCTTTAGAAAACAACTGGGGAAATTGAAGTTTGGGTGATATTTATAAAGCAAAGATGCTATAAACTTGAGAATGTCACCCATTTTGGACAGTGTTCTCATAACTGATACATAATAACTAGACTCATCCATTCCAGTCAATACCCTGCACTTACAGAAAAGGCAAAAAAACAAAGCCAAAAAAAAAATCACCTACTCCTCTATACTTTATTAATATGCTTAATTTAGATTTTAACAAAAGACATCTCAAATGCTTTCTTCTACCCACCAATCTTATAAAACAGCATAAAAAACTGTATCTGTTACTGGGATTCTCCATAATATGATCTACAGACATATTTTCTTTTAAAAAAAGTATTTATTTTTATTCTATGGACATTGGTGTTTTACTGCCATTATGTCTGCATGAGGGTGTCAGATTCCCTGGAACTAGATTTATAGATATTTGTGAGCTGACATTTGGGTGCTGGGAATTGAACCTGTGTCCTTTAGAAGGGCAACTAATGCTCTTAACCACTGAGCCATCTATTCAGCCCTTCAGATATATTTTCTAAATGCAGTACAATAATTAGATAAAATTGTTTTTGGAGAAAAATCACTTTTATCTCGATTTCATAGCTGCTATCAAGAGTATACACATATTGTGATAGGGTATGGATCATGGTAGAGGGAGCAGGAAACCCTGGATTTGAGTACCAGAATTATAAAGTGTATGTGAGTGTGTGTATGTGTGTATGCGTGTGTGTGTGTGTGTGTGTGTGTGTGTGTGTGTGTGTGTGTGTGTGGTGTGTGTGTGTGAATATAAGTATGATAGTTTGTATTTCTTGTTTAGTGCACTAAGAGAGATCTGAATTCTATGGTTTTAAATATTTAGCGTACATTTTAGGAGGTATAAATAACACATAGCTTTTTCAATGAAATTTTCAGAAACGAACTGAAGCAACAGTCGGGCAATCATAACTTAAGGATGGATGGTTCCCCATGTTGAAGGGAAGAGAAAGCTATAACTTCGAACCAGCTTGACTCATTTCTCCAGTATTTATTCACATGAGCTACAGAAAACTATTTCCTTCTGCGCTGTAGGAAGCACTGATAATTGACATGACCACTTTTGTGAAATGACCTATTCTAAATCCAAATAACATTTCACATTAACTTTTTATTACACATTTCAATAGTTTCTTAGTTCTTTTGGATTCCTGAAGTTAAATAAAAAATAATTTTGGTGATTCATCATTCAATTTCATACTTTATACTCAAGGATTGGTGATTACTCATATTTAGTGTTCAAATACATCAAAACCAAGTCCTGTAGACGGCAGGACACAAATACAGCTAAGAGTTCTCAAGAATGGCATAATAAATAATTGTGATGCTGTGCTTGTTAACGTAGCAAGCCTTCCCCATTTCAAGCATGTTTGGAGGCCTCACTCAAGGCCACACTTCTCTCTAAATACATATAAATAAGAGGTAGAAAGATCTACACAAAAGTTTTAGGCCAGATTTTTCCATATGTGTTCAATTTAGATGTGTTTACATCTAGGCTTGTCGTCGGACCGGACCAGCCTTCCAGTGAGGAATCCTGTCTTCCAGATAATAAACATTGACAAAACAGCAATAAAACTTGTAAAATGCCATTACAGGAGTCCCATAAATGTAAGACGGCCTGTAGAGTTTGAGGATTTACACCTAGTATTTGTCCCTTCATGGAGGCCAACATGCACAGAGCCACTGTAATAAGCCTTCAAAATCAGATAATGTTCGGACAGCTCAGTTTCACCGACGATCGAGTCCTGGGCAGCAGCCAGGAGGCCCAGGTGCACTGTGTCACGCCAGGGTTTAATGCAGTCTAGTATCAGATGGATGCTAGTGAGAGGAAATATTCTGCCTAAACTCCAGATAATGGCATGGACAACTACTCATCGCAAAATTACTTGTGCTCATCAGGCTGTGAGCTTTGTATTAAATTTTTCTGTCAAGTGGCAAGACTCACAGGGAAAAGGACCTCCAAGAGGCCCCTCCCCATAACCTTGGATAGCGATCTATAACATTAAGCTTTCATAGGATAATAGCAAATGATGGCCTTTATGAAAAATTGCTGACTAGGAAGGAAAGTCCTAATCAGATTGTGGCTGCGGACACCCAGGAGGTGAGGACAGTGCCTGTGACACCCTTCTCCTCCACCCACCCCCACTCCCACCCCTTTAGCACATTCAGTAAACTTGACAAGATGGGTGAGTCCGAGAGAATTTCTCTTACATGAATTTCCAATAAAGCCCAAGGGGTTGTTTTATAAAATGAGAAGGTGGTGGCAGTTTAATAAATGCCGGGTCACCTGAGGCGCTTTCATTAAAGGCTTTCTCTAGACAACATCACAATGTTTGTATTATCCTCCTCTGCCCCCTTGAGAGGACAAGTGTACCCTCTTCAGCGAGAGTCCATAACGCATGTGACGGCATGAAGAAAAGGATTTGAGGTGCCTGCCTTCTGGTGCTCAGACTAACTGTAAAACCACTATGGTTGCCAAAATTATCCCAGTACATTGACTGCTCTTTGTTGAAGTGTGAAATTATTTTTAAAAGATAGAATGAAGAAAATAGAGACATTCTAGAGTTTTGATCAGTGGACCTGGTAATGGTTAATCCTATGTTATGACATCAACTAGAGTCACAGCCATTGTGTGAAACCGTAAAATAAAAACTTTAAAAAATGTTTATGTAATTTCCTAACCAGCCATTTTGAAAACCGCAAAGGCTAAAGACAAGATGTGGAAGGATTTCACTCCTGTAAGTAATATAAGGCTACTCTTAATGGATGTCAATGTAGTTTCTAAAGTCAGTGAACACATACATCCACTAGCCACAGAGAAGCAGGGGAATGGCGAGCCTCAAAGACGTTTTCACCCGTTTCAATGGACTTACCGTCTGCGTAGGCTTCTCTGCGCAGATGTCCTGGCTGGTGTTTCTGTTTCTTGGCGGGTCTGGTTTTCTGGATTACAGCAGTACTCATGTTACTGTCTGTAGACACAGGGCTCGTGGGCCGAGGGCACTGAGAGGCATGGAAATGGCGGCGGCCTGAGGAGCAAAGCCAGGGGCAGGCTCATCACTGGAGTCCAGGACCACAGAAACAGCCAGAGCTCAACACTCAACCTAGAAACAATCCCTAATCTCACAACATACTTAGCAGCCACCAAACAATGAGCTCCCCCCTCTATTTAATGTTAACTAGAGGAAACGCCCTGAAAGCACTGTTAATCTTTTTCTTTTCATTAAAAACCACGGGATTATTCTTCTGCTGAAGTTCCCGATCATCTTTACATAAGGGAAACACTGCAGTTATTTTCTCAACTATCATCACTAACGTGCTCTTAAAACAAGAGTGTTATTGTTTTCCTGCACCATATATTCAATGCTTGTTGCTTTTTGACGAGGAAAAATCAGATTCCTTAACAAATTCATGTTGTAAAAATGCACTGGATTAATTTTACACTTATTTTAATTAAGTCTGTTTATGGCATTCTTTGAAGGTAGAACCCTGATAACTCAGTAACATTCTTGGGTATTCTCTTTGTAAGTGTTCTGAAATTGATCTAGCTTACGTATGTAGTCTACCCAAAAGTACTTCAGTGTTTTTTCTGCTTTAAGATATTTGTCCATCCTCACTATTCAGTGGCCCCTCCAAGACTCCAGCGTGTGGGTGATGGTCAGTTTTGGACAGACAACATTACCCAGTGGTACTGCGAACTTAATTTACAGAGCAGACATGACTCATTTCAATGGCATCAGTGTCCCTGGCCCTTACAAAAATGATATACTATAACAGGTGCAGTGTGTTTCATCTCGAATGGCAATGGAAGCCTTTCAGTGCTATGCTGACATACAGTAGTTTGGCTTCTAGCAATTCCATCCAGAAATCCACTGCTTCCTATTGAACCACAAGAAACTTCAGACAGACCCAGGAATCAGACATGGCCTCTGGCTATAAACAAGAGAAGCCACATACATTGAAATCAACACATTTAGAAGTGCTAACCGAGGCACGTTAAATAATGGACATTAATGCAGCCAAGTGAGAAGCAATGTGATTGGGTTATCCATTCATATTAAGTTCAAGTCACATGACAAGCACCACCATTTCTTGAAAGAATATTATAATAGGCAGAGGCCAGTGCATGTTTAGTTCATTATAATTATGAGCCAAATGAAACCAGAAGTGCTACTAAATTACAATACAATAAAATATTCAACCCAACTCTCTTTAGCTATGATGGAGACTATTACAATTAAAGTTACATAGCCATGAAAATAGAGAATTAGAGTGGAGATGGAAACCATTCTTCATTCCATTGTATAAGGCCATCTACTGCTCAAAGACCCCGAGGCATAAGGTCGCTTACAGATGAATTTTCAACATTATTCCTATGTTTCGTTGACTTAATGAGCTGAAACGCGCCATTAATGCAATCTGAAAATAGTGGCTTGAGATGCTTAATTTCATGTACTTATTTCTTTACAGAAGATTAAAAACTAAGGTAAAACATATATAGAATTAGATGTTATTTATTTATTTATTAATAAAGTTAATTAGGCTTGCATACATTACTACATTGCGGGGCGACTGGGAAAAAGAATGTTTGATTGAATTTTAGAAAACATAAGCCTGAAGTAGGTACATATGCTGTGATAACGTATTGATAAATATCAGACATCTTTTTCTACGTGATGAATAAATGTATAGAGATGGCCTTGTGGTTTAAGTGAAGTATCTATGAATATATTCTATACTGATCAAAAGTAATGATCAGGGCAATACCTCAAGAAAGCAAGGGAAGCTCCCACTGTGACAGTTACTAAACTGTGGAAATTAAGACAACAAGCAGCAATAATTGACTTACGATGATATTTTCTTTTCCTGAAATATGTTCATTTCATATTGTTTATCTCAACTATTTGTATTTTCTTGGCTACCAGAAATATAGACATGCAGATACAAGTACACACACACACACCCACACACACACCTATGCACAATATAGACACACACAAACACATCCACGCATAACATACACACACACACGTATATATATTCTACACAAAGACCATATGATATTTATTGCAACTTCAATTATTTTCTTGTTGTTTCTGCTCTAAGTAAGAGTTGAGAAGAAGAATTACGTAAAAATAATTTAAAAATAAGTACATTCATTATACTAGGCTATATCAGTGAAACAGGGAAAGGGAAAATAATATGCATTTATATTAACTTGCTCTTCGAACTATTAGATTAAAAATATGAAACGCTTATGCTTTAAGATGTATGCACATGCTGGGTGGTGGTGGTGCAAGCCTTTAATCCCAGCACTCGGGAGGCAGAGCCAGGCGGATCTCTGTGAGTTCAAGGCCAGCCTGGTCTACAGAGTGAGTTCCAGGAAAGGCACAAAGCTACACAGAGAAAGCCTGTCTCAAAAAACCAAAAAAAAAAAAAAAAAAAAAAAAAAAAAAAAAAAAGATGTGTGCACATTTTAAACATCTTTCAGTTTCACTGATGAGAGGCATAAAGAGGTGTTACGGTTTCAATCTGCAATGTCCTTCCACAGACTTTCATATTGAGTGCAGGTTCCCAGGCTGGTACTTCTGCTCTGGGGAGCATGGAACCTTCATACACTAGGGCCTGGCTGGCAGACATGGGTCAAAAGAACCAGGTCCTTGGAGGTTAGACCCGATGCTGGGCCTAGAGGGATTCTCAGCCTCATCTGTCCTGCCGTGTGAGCAGCCACAGACACAAGCACCTACCAGGAACTGAGCCAGCCCGCCCTGCCTTCCTCCTGTGAAGGACGGGGGCAGCAGGTTTAACCAGGAGTCCACGTATAACACTTCTCCCGGATGGAGCTTCCATCAGGAACTGTGATCACAAGTAACCTTGGCAAAGAAAAGAGGCTAAGGAGCCACTTCCCAAAGGTCTGAGTGTTCCAACTGGCTGTTTTCTTCTTTCTCTTACAGAAGTGCCAATTTAATATAACTATCAAAATGAATTTCGTTTTAGTGACTTTCTGCATAAAAATCCATTTATAATATGTGCAGAGAAGCACGGAGTTCATTTTATCGAATATATTTAAACCTTAGAGAAATTTTATCAATTGCCTAAAACATATGTGTATATATGCAGAAATATATGTAAACATACATGTATACATTTGCTATGGTTATCATAACAACAGCATAGTCTGTTTCTCATCAGTCAGCTTATATAGCGTTTATGAAATAATAAATCATTTTAAAAGTCTTAGTAACAACTAGAAAATACTCAAACCAAGTCATCTTGTTGAACCTTGCTTTCTATAGGCAGCCTAAAAAGAGAAAGAAAAACTGGAGGATTTTTTTTTTTCACACAGGACCCGTGATGGGGACACTGTTAGTGACAAACAGGCACATCCCTGGGTGAAGGGTGTGGAGGACTCACCGGCCGCATCCTGCATTTGGCGTCGAGCAACTTTCAGCCCGGCATACTCCGCAGCTGCAGCCACGGCCTGGGCAAAATCAGCGTCAGTGAAAAAGGAGCCGTCAGAGGAACTAACACTGGAGCGCCCACTGGAAATGTTGTCCTCTTCGGAGGCCGAGCCCCAGCCGTTGATCATGGACCCCGTGACAGAGCTCTCAAGGTCCCCCACACTGGAGGCTGGGGTCTGCTCAAGCCCACGTAACAAGAGCCTTCTGGCTTGCATTTTGGCCACTTCCATGTCGGCCTCGTCTTCCTCCTCTTCTGGAGCATCTGTATCCATGTCTGAGACGAGCGGTCCTGAAATGTAGCCGTAAGTATGAGGCGGGGAGATTGGCCGTGGTGGTGGGGGAGGACTCACCGGCTGCCGCCTGCAGGAAGATGAAAAGATTGGAACAGCTCAGCTCGCCACTCAAGACACACGCAACGCGGGATAATTAACGCGGAAGTGGAAGCTGATGGTGACTAGCAGCGACTCTCTAGACAAAAACAATGTGAAGGAGAGAGGGTGTATTCCAACTTACAGTTCAAAGCTACAGTCTGTCACGACAGAGAAGTCAAGGCAGCCAGGGCTTGAGGTAGCTGCCGACACTGTGCCACAATCAGGAAGCAGAGGGCAAGGGATGGGTGCTGTCACCCAGCTGCTTTTCTTTACTTATATAGTCCAGGGTCACATCCAGGGAATGGCATCACCCATAGTTGGTGAGGCGTCCCTCCCCATTTAGTGCAATCAAGATTACCGCCCCCTCCTCTCTCCCCCCCAACACAGGCGTTCCAGGTGTTTCTAATTTCTGTCCATTGACAATTAACACTAACTGTCACATCTGGTCTATTATTTTATTCAAGTCAAAAAGACATTCGGTTCTCTAAAACTCCTCATGTTTGTTCATTTAATTCTGTTTGCTTAAAAATAAGGGGAGGATAATCCTTATTTGGGGTCACATCGTATCGGTGCTAAAGAGTCTAATATTCCCAGTTGCTTATTATTATTAAAAGTAACAGACACTTATCTTGAAACAGTTTGTTCTACACAGATTTTTTTCTTTCCTTTTCTTCATTACAACTCCTACTATTGAGAGCAAATGGAGTCATTCATCTTGACAACATTCAGCAAAATTTCATATGATTAAAAAATACATATTCAGCATATGCCATAATTGCTTTTAGACTTTATTCTATTAAGGAAAGCTATGAGATCCAAGAACAATTTTCTCTGATTTAATCACTTATGAGTTCCACTGAAGGTTATGAACTCTTTTTAAACTCTACTGCTTTTGAGTGTTATATTACCTCTCTGTTCATGCTTAACTGTATTTCTACCTTTCAACGGTGGTGTTCAGCTGGGCAGGCTTGTGTGGATCTATCCACTCGACTATTCAATCAGGTTAATGCCATTTACTTCTCATGTCCCAGAATTTGTTATGAATCAAAACAGGAAGAAAACAATATGAATACCATACTTGGAGTTATAAATAATGGGCCCTAGCCGTTTGTCCAGAAGAGCTCCACTTAAAAGTATGTCGTTCCATAATTCACAGTGAGTTGAAGATGGCCGAGATAGTGGAGATCATTTGGACACTAATGGAGAGCAACACTATACAAAGAAGGTGTTCCTAGCAAAGAAGAGTGCAAGGGATTTTTTTGTTTTGTTTTGTTTTTGTTTGTTTGTTTGGAGCATGCCTGCAAAACGGAAAGACACAGGTAGTCCTGTTCAGCGAGCCAGGTACAAGAGATAATGCAATGGAGAATGTCAGGTGGAATGACCCAGGACAGCAGCTCATCAAATCCTCCACTCTTCAGAAGAAAGGACTATTCACTCTGACCAGCTGAGCACTGCTCTAAAAAGGCAGCCGTCATTAGGATCTAGCATATCATCTGGTAACCCCACAAGGTGGGCGGCTTGGAGAGAAGACGCAGGAGTGCTAATCCACGTAAAGATGTGGCCTGATTGGTTAAAGACTACAGGTGACTGGAGATGCTGTCTCAGAGCCAAGTTCTCGCTGCTGAAGGGGGTTAGTGGCAGTGCGTCCCCTTCTCCGTCATGACAATACTTAGTAAGAAGAGTGGGAAGAGTGTCTAGTGCTGTCCCCCGAGGAGACCAGCTTGCATTTGCTGCGGATGTCCTCTCTTCTTGCCCCCAGGACTGGAAGAGGCGGGAGGACAAAAGATGAAAAGGAGTGGCAGAGATGTGCCGCTACTCCATGCCACCAAAGCCCTCTACAAAGGATGTCTGGGAATGCACGATTAAGGTTTTTAAATGAACAGAGCTACATAGCAGGTGGTCAAAATCTACCTATGGTCAAAATCAACCAGGTTCTGATGTGGCTGTCTCCTCTAAAGAGAGAAAAGTAAGTTCCACACCACACCTTTTATAGCGTGCTCTGGCAGTTCTTTGAAGTAAGCTATTTTCTGCCTTGGATCCCAATAAATGGAGACACTTCAATAAATTCACTTTATTACTTAAAATTGAAAACTATAAAAGAAATGACTTTTGAAACACCACAGTCAACTCATTGAGACACTGGCTAGCCATATTTTACAATGTTAATTGATTCTTGGAACTCACTGGTTTGCTTTTTTAAGTTATCATTTACACAAAAGTATACTGAAATTCAAAGGCTTCGAAATTCTTACAGTGCTTATATGTAAGTTCAGAATTGAAACCAAATCATATTTCCAAGGCTACCACTTTTCCTTCTAGGAATGGTAATGGCTCCCCTCCCCACATCCCATTTTTTTACATAGGCGAAGGAGAGACATTTTTATAAATGGATGTATAGACAAACAAACTGAGAAATGAAAATTAACACATTATACAAAATAATTATAGGCATATAAGAACATAATATCACACAAAGTAAGTACATTTTTATACATTTGTATATCTACATATATATACTAACATACATACATACATACATACATACATACATACACACATATCACACATACATAGTCCTACAGTATAGTGGATTAGTTTTCATTTCTGGGTGGGTTTAATTCATCTGTGTGTGTGGCACTAGAAGAAATATGAAAAATGTGTCAAAGCTGAAGTTATTTAAAAGATTAATATGGATAATTGCTCCAATGTGGAATGCATTATACACATAGAAGGAAAACCATTGTTTCATTTGGAGTGTAATAAAATTGTGTACTTAAAAGTTAATTTACAGCCTTTGTCAGCATGCAGAGCCACAAGAATCAGGCAACTTTTGTTTCTTTTTAAAGACATCTTAGGGTTCTAAGCACAAAGGGGACTATTTTGACCATCAATAAATTGCTATGGAACTGCTAACTCCAGTATGAGAGGATGCCAATATTGTTGTGCTTGGAGAATTTATATTCTGGAGGGTAAAAATACCTTCATGTTCAACAGGGGCTGGTTTTTTAACTACAAACCATGCAAATTCTGAGAAAAGGCAGAAAAATTTATTCAAACCATCTGTAAATAAGGCCAGCCCAGGGAATGTGTGATAAACATGTACAGTTTGAAATATGTAATATATTCTATTGGAAAACAAAAAGCTATTTCAGGATGCTGCGCTCACATGGGGCTTGTCGCAAATGAACCTCAACCCTCTAGATTCTTCCCCTCAGGGGTTTCAATGTCTCATGAAATAATGTAAAAGTATATGCCAGCAACTCACAGCAGCCTAGGCTGCTGCAAAAATGATGCCTCCATAAATATGTTCAAGAGGAAGGGGAGTGATTCCATTAATTTATGAGAGCAGGTGTATCTACAGTTCACCATACGACACTTACCAACCAAGACACAAAAGGGAAAAACCTTTGAGATTTTTTTCAAACGCTAACGTAGCATAAATGTTCTGTGTAATTAACTGTCATCTCCTGACTATTTGTAAAAAGGACATTTAATTTTGCTTTTTTATTCGAATTTCTTATCCTCCTAATACTACTAAATTCAAGCTGTGTATATCAATAATACCGGTAAATTTCCTAGCCCATATGTGAATGTTATTTTCATTGTTTAGGACATTTTTGTTAAATATTAACTGTAGCAAGGCAACATCACCTGATACCTTTTGAAACAACAGATGTGAACAATGTTTAAACACATTATTTTTATTGTAATTGACTAAAAAATGGAATTTTAAGCAACTACTAAGTTTTAGACATAAATGGAATATCTTGGCAATTGATTGGAGAAATTACAATATTTATAATTCAAGTCTTGATTCTCTTTGTGTGTGTGTGTGTGTGTGTGTGTGTGTGTGTGCATGGGAGCACATGTGCGTGTATGGAGTCAAGTGACAATCTTGGGTATTGCTCCTCAGGCTTCATCCACCTTGGTTTTTGAGAGTCTCTCACTGGTCTGGAGTTTGTCAAAACAGGCTAAACTCCTTGGCCTGGAAGCTTGTCTCGCCTCTACAGGGATAGGATAACAAGAGGAATCTGCCACGTCTCGTTTTTACATGGATTCTGCAGGTGAAACTCAGGTCCTCACATTTGCAAGGTAAGAATTTTACCAGCTAAACTCTCTCCTCAGCCCAACAAGGTGAGCCTTTCCATTCTTACTAAATGGCATGAAGTTATAATGTTTCGACTTCTAAACTTTTCTTAATGTATATCATAGGATTTATATATGCCCTAGCCAGTAAGCATAAAAATCAATGAATGTATGTATTTTAACATTTACTTTACCTATTATGACAAATATGCTAGATATTTAAATCAATGAGAACATTACCAGTAAAAAAAAATTAGAGGGAACACTTTATGTTTTAAGATAGATAATGATTTTAAATCATATATAACAAATACAAGTTAAATATGTATATATTTTTGACTATATATATATATTTTTTCAATATGTTCATAACAATACCTCCTGTAAGGATTCAGTCCTTAATTACGTCATCGGCGTCCCAGCCCAAAAAGGAGGTAGGCCCTCTGTGCGTCCCTCTCTTTCCTTCCTGCTCCTTCCTTCCATCTGTCCTCTCTCTCCCTCTCTCTCTCTCTCCCCCTCTCTCCCAATAAAGCTTTAAAAAGGTAACCATGGCTGGGTGGTGATGGTGCACGCCTTTAATCCCAGCACTCGGGAGGCAGAGGCAGGCGGATCTCTATGAGTTCGAGGCCAGCCTGGTCTACAAAGTGAGTTCCAGGAAAGGCGCAAAACTACAGAGAAACCCTGTCTCGAAAAATCAAAAAAAAAAAAAAAGGTAACCATGGCTGTGATTGTTCCGATCAGCACTCTCCTCTGCCGGCATGGCCACCTTGGGCGTCAGCCAGTCATGAGCAATGCACCGTTTAACCAACATTGGTGCCGTGCTGCCTGTGTTTCTCACGTGCATACAGACAGGGCCCTGATCTTTGTCTTGTCCCTAATTCCAAAAAAATAAGTTCTCATGCA